GGCCCAGATCTTGAGAAATGGCTAGATTCAGTCCCAACTTAAGGATGTCTATGCCTTGAGGAAGTTACACATGGTGTTCACCATCCTTGGTCTTATTTTCCTATACTGGGGAGCTGGCACATATAGAAAACCATTTGGCAATCTTCAGTGAGCTTCCTGGCATGGCAGTAGGTTCCTGAGGGTTGGGGTTTGTGCAGGGCCACCTATCAGGGCCCTATTCAGGCAGTGTCTGCTCCAGTCTCCAATGCACACTGCTGTCTATCAGGGACCTCTGACTCGTCTCACCTCAATACCTGCTCCCCACCTTTCTGAACCTTCTCCTCACCCTTGTTCTTAAATTGCCAACTGCTATGCTGTTCCTTAGTGAACAATTAGTAGACTTCAATATTTAAATCTACCGAAAAATTGAATTAGGTACAGGTTGTATATATTTCTCTATCATTAAATTAGAATTGCTAATACTAGTAATAGTATTTTTTTTTCCTGTTAGAAAGCACAGTTACACCTCCCTTGTGGCAATTAATCTTCACAGGTGGCCTAGAAGTAAAACTGGGTAAGAAAGTTTTCAGGTAAGAAAACTGAACCTCAGAGATGTGTTGAATTTAGTTATTGAATTTAGTTATTGTGCCTGGCACACTGGGAGGACTGGGGACATGCTGGTGCCCCCCACCCCCAGGAAGGATGAAGGCTGGTAAGTCAGGTAAAAGGAACCTCAGAACACCTGACTTCTGTTCAATGCAGTGAGCTGAGTTCAAAAGAATTTTCAATAAAGTATTGTTCAGTATGGCTGGATCGCACATACAGGCTCTAGAAAGTGGGGTGGATGGGGGACATGGTGCAGGGGTGGAAGGCTGGGAGGCTTCAGGATGGAGGTAAGGAGAACCAAGGATGTGGGTGAAATTGACAAAAGAAGCCAGGTGCAGTGGCGCATGCCTGTGATCCCAGTGGCTCTTGAGGCTAAGGCAGGAGGATTGAGAGTTCAATGGTGAGGCGCTAAGCAACTCAGTAAGATCCTGTCTCTAAATAAAATACACAAAAGGGCTGGAGATGTGGCTCAGAGGTCGAGTGCCCCTGAGTTCAATCCCCTGGTATATTAAAAAAAAAAAAATTGACCAAAGACTGAAGGAGGGGCGAGGAAGCTGCTAAGAGCATCATCCTGATGATGTTCTACTTGCAACTCAGATGTTCTTAATAGTTAATTATATTCACACTCAGTAAGGCAATCCCATAAATACCAGAGACTGTGAACTTCTCAAAAGCTACAGACTTGCATAAATGCCTGTGTAGGCACGGGCTACTCCTGAAGGCAGGCCTGGAGGAACCAAGAGACTGAGGTAGGAGAAAAGCTCACTTTTGCTATGTACCTTTTAATTGCTTTTGTTTTTATCTTAAATATGTATGACGGATTCGAATGAAATTTTATAGAAAATTTAGAAACTGGAAAATTTGGTAAACTGGCGTAAGAGCCTGCAAAAGGTGGCCCTCACTTGCAATTCACTCGGTAGTCACTCTGGAATATTTTGTGGACATCTATGGGTTTGGTAATTTTCACTCCTGAACACAAGAAACTAGCTAGGCCTCAGGCATCCTCGCTCATGCTTTGGATGTGTTCACAGACTCTGAGCTTGAGGAGGAGATATTTCTTGGATTGCACACATTTTTCATTTATTTTCGTGCCTGCCATCTCCACCTTCATGCACTTGGATCATGGGAACTATAATCAGCATTTTGACACCTGAGAATGGCCCAAAATGCCAGCTGAGGATTCTGGTCCCCAGGAAGTGCATTTGAACTTTTACTTCACCGTTGCTCTTGCATTGCCAACTGCTATTCTGGCAGATGGAGGGAGCTTTGGAGACCTTTGGTTTTCCCACATTTGGTAATGGACATGAAAGAAACAGAATGAGAAGGGAGAAACTGTCTTTCCCCTAAAGTCACTGCTGAAATGTTCCAAACAAGAAACAGGAGAGGAGGTCATGGAAATGAACTGCTTCTACTCGTGAAACTCCTGACACTGAATGTGAAATTTTTCCTCGCATCAACTAATTCTCCTATTCCTGGGCACCAGGTGGGAGTCCTAATCCAATCCAATTGAGATACTAACTCCCTGGAATTAGCACAGCCACCAGAGATTAAGCACTCAGTCCCACCAGACTTCCTCTCACTCCAGAGGCCAGTTGCAAGTCCCAGATCTCTTCTTGAGCTTTTGTGACCATAAATGAACCAGCAGTTCCATGATCCCTGACTGATTTGATAATTCATTATAATGACTCATAAAATCAGGACTGTGCTTTTCTTACTGTTTATTACCAGTTTATTATGAAGAAACAGCCAGAGGGAAAGATACAGAGGACAAGTGTGGGAGCAGGGTATGGAGTGTCCTGCCTCTCTACATGCTACTCTCCCTGAGCCTACATGTGTTCATCAACTCAAGCTCTCTGAACCCCATTGTTAGGGTTTGATATGAGGTATCCCCCCAAATATTCTTGCATTAAGAATGGTGAGAGCTGAAACCCAGTCAGTCCATCCTACTTTGAATGGACTGACTGGGTGGCAACTGGAGGCAGGTGGGGTGGGCAGGAGGAGGGTCACTGGGGGTGAGCCTCTCTGCTTTCCAGTCTCCTCTGCCATGCCCTTCCATTATGTTGTTCTGCCTCACCTTGGACCCAAAGCAATGGAATCAGCTCACCATGGACGAAATTCCTGAAACTGTGAGCCAAATATAAACTTTCCTTCCATGTAAGTTGTTTTTGTCAGGTATTTTTGTCACAGTGATGAACAGCTAACACACCCTTCATCATATAGGAATTTTGATACATTACTTAAGCCTGACTGATTTAACCACCAATGGCCAATGATTTGATCAATCTCCAGCTTCTCTCCTCTCCCTGGGGGTCAGGAGTGATGGGAAAGAAGGAACTTCAAACCTCCAATCATGCCTTGGTCTGCAAACCAGGCTCCATTCTGAAGCTATCTAGGACCCCTCAAACAGTCATCCAGTGTACGGAAGGTAGTCTTAGCACTCCAGAGATTTCAAGGGTTTTATGAGGTGCATTGTCAGGAGTCTGGGACAAAGACCAGGGCTTGGAGACAACCTGTCAAGGTCACACAGCTGGTAAGTAGAGGAGCAAGAGCATCAAGGTGTTCTGGTTTTTGGTCTCACACTCTCCACACCATTGGAGCTTCTAGTTCAGTTCTGCTTGGTGCAGAACACCCAGAATCTTTGCACTGTGTGTTCTTTAAAAACACTCACAGGGAACAGACTTGCTGCAGGTTCCAGTTACTTGGTGGGAGCACATCCTTTGCAGGAAAAATGTGATTGTCCTCCCTCTACAAAGAGCAAGTCTGAGTCCCCTCCAGTGATCACCCAGTAAGCCATGCCAGGGGAGGAAAGGCCTCACCTATCAAAACTGCCTTTCTAGAAGATGGCCAAATTTCAGGTGAGTTCTTACCTAAGCTCCCAGGAATTTTTCTTTGGGCCCCACTCTTTCCTTCAATGTTAAGAACCTAAATGGCTGATCCTGTTTCGTCATGAGATGTAATGGCAAAACAGACCCAAATTGATGGCAAAGGTCAGAGCTAGGACAAGCTGAGAAGGTGGGTCAAACAGGAAGGTGGCCATAGTTGAGACTGACAGCTGTCCAGTAAAACCTTCCCCTGTGCAGTAATGGATTTTCTGATGGATGTCAGCTGGCTGCATTTACTGTCCTCCCTTGCAGCTCTGGGTGGCACATGACACTGAGGTCAACGTGATGTGCATGAAGTGCTATGTGCAACTGCTGGGTCACCTTCAAATAAAAGAAATTCCTGTATTGGAGCAGCTCTCTTTTCTCTTGAGCTGAAACATGAATGTGCCTGTGACCCAGCCTTGATCATGCAGACAAGGGTGATGCCTGGGCCTGGCAATAGGATGGAAGGAAACTGGGTTCCTCAATGATTGTGTGGAGTCAGAGTGCCAATCTGGTCCTCAGGACCATTAGTGACAGAAAAACAAGCCTCCATCTTCTTTAGACTAAATAGTTTTGGAGGCCTTCTTTAGACTATAAGAAGTTTTGGAGGCTTTTGGAATTAGAAATTTACTCTGAATTGTCACAAACAACAGGAAGGGGATGGTATTTTTAGCACAATACCAAGGATCCTAGGGCAGAGCAGGTAAAGTCCCTTACTTTTGGCAAATTATGGGATGGGGTGCTAAGTTTTCTGTAGAACTATTCCTTCTTTTCCTTTTCTGAAAATTTACTTAGTAAGCAACTTGACTTTCTCATATAACCATGAAAATTCTATGAACAGTTTTCTTCCATCTTCAGGCTCAGAAAATTGAGATTTATAGTGGGGAGGCTATGCATCCCATATCACTGAACTAATAAACGATGGGCCCATGATTTGACCTTGGGTCTCTGCAACCCTGGAGTCCAGGCTCTGTGCTTTACAGCATGGTGCCCCTCCCAACAGGTAAGGGCGCATCTGAGCAGGTGCTGACTATGCCAGGTGCTTTTAACATTTTAATCTTATAAATAAAAAGGGCATGGCTGTTTCATACAGGAAGAGGTTAGCAGAAACTATTTTAGAATGTACCCGATTTATAAGTGACCAGTTTATATTACTGTTCTTTGGAACTCTGGTCATGCCAGAGAATCAACATGATTCCACAGAATCATCATTGATTCATGGTGACACATGTCTAGGCTAGTTCTCAAGACACCTCTCGACTTATAGTCTCAGGCCTGGGTACAAAGAGCAAGGAAAAGAGTCATGGTAGAGATTATGATTCTCCGATGTCCAGATGTCCCCTGCTCATGCCACCCTGTGCTCTGGCCTCCCTTGCCTTTGGGTTGCTACATACCAGGTCTCAGATTGCCACCTCCTCTTCATTTCAGCCAAATCCTCTAACCCCTCAGTATAGCTCATTCCATGTAGAAAGAAATAAGCGATCTCATTGAACTGATTTACACTGACTGGAATATTCCTATCTGAGAAAATTCACCCCTCTCACAACAGTGGACTTTGACAGAGTTGTATTCTACACAGTGCATTTTATTACAGTGCATTTGTGATCCACAAACATGCTTGGATTAGTCCAGGAAATTAGGTTATTTTATTGACCACATTTACTTCTTGCAGACAGACTAAGTTTAATATGGTAAGGCATAAACAATATGTTGAAGGACAATAAGGTGGAGAAACAAGTTCAAAAGGTTCTGGCTGTTTGGCTACCCAGTCCAATTGCTAGGAGACAGGACTGTATTTACAGAGTTTGGAACTCGGGGGATTGATCTGGAAACACAAGGGCTATGTTGTAAGTCTTCTCTGCACCGCACCAATGAGAATTTGGTTCAGAAAACAGAATCTGTTCTGCCTATTTTAAGCAGGAAGACATTTTAACACATGAAATCTTAACACATTTTGCTTACCAAGAATGTGGTGGGAGAGCTGGCCGTGGCTCTAGTGTCCAGGGGTGACTGTAGAATACGACAGAAATGGCTCACCAGGAATGGCCCACCAGAAAAGCTACCTCCTTTGCGGCCACATGCAAGTGTTAGTGCAAGAACCTTTCAATGTAGTTCTGACCAGAGATAAAGAAGTGAGAACTGGGAGGTGGCTGCCCCTGCTGGCCAGTCCAATGCCAGTGTCGCAGCTGTACACCCAGGAAGCTGCAGAAGAGCCACCCCCACTCATCTGGCCTCATCAAACTCATACAAGTATGTTGAGCAGGTAAGCCTGCAAAGACTGTGGGAAGCACAGCTTGAGCTTTGTAAGCTCTGCCTTACAGGAAGGCAGTCAAGGTCCACACTGTCCAATAGAACTTTCTATGCTGAGGGAAATGGCCTCTATGTGCACAGTCCAGTACAGTAGCCTCTAAACAAATGTGACCACTGAGCATTTGAAATGTGACTAGTCCAATTTCAGGAACTGAATTTTAAGTAATTATTTCATGCTGAAGTTACATGTAGCTACTGGTTACTGACAAGTGTAGTTCCAGCAGAGGGCGGAACACAGAGTGAGTAGCCAGTTCATAGCTTCCCTCACACTGATTATGATCCTTGTGAATCACTGTGAAGGAAAACCTCATGTCCTCCACTTCTTCCCCTGTACAGTAGGGATAATGACCTCAAGGAAAATGTTACGATAAAGTGGCTGGAAACAGTCCATGGCTTGTAGTGAGCTCAGGACCAGGAATACCAGGGGCTGGGATGGTGATCTCAGGGGATGAAGATCAATACACTTGAAACCAGGGTCTGGCACAGTACTCCTGACATTCAAGTACTTTATCAATGGGACATCTCCAAGGAGAAAGCCACTGATACGTACATGGCTGAACTTGGCTCATCTCCAGTCCAGCCCTCTCTTCTGAGCTCCATATCCATAGATCTCCTTACTGGAAGGCTTCACCTAGATGCCCCACAGTCATCTCAAATGAACTCGCCTGTCCATCCATTCAACCATCCAAACATCCCAAATGCATAGTGTATGACTAGCACGTTAAGTTCTGAGCTAGGAACTGGGTGTAGTGCTGAATGGCATGACTGACACTTCTCTCTCAGGGCTTTTAGCTTAATGGGGAAAACAGAACAAGCCACAGAAGTACAGGCTGCAATGGAGCACTGATCTAAATCTGGGGGCTAGGCAGCATCAGAGAAGGATCTAGCCAAAATAGACGGAGGGGAATAGCACAAGTTGAAGCCTAGTTTTTCTGCCAGTTCTGGCAAAGCCTCATCATACAGTAGGAAAGGATCAGGTGCCCTGGGCCAAGGGCTGTTTTGGTTAGGAAACAGTTGAGTGCGTAAATCAGCAGCTGGGGGGTTTTTTTGACGTCCTTTGCTGGACTGGGGGGCAGGGCCTGTCTCTCGCCCTCGTCACCAGCTTTACAGTGTCTTCTCTGGTGGCTGTATTGTACATTAGTGCTTTCTCTAGAAGTGAACTCTTTGGGGGTGAATGTGAAGTGGGGCTGTATCCTCTGGACTGATGTAAGGTGAGAAGCTGGAGTTGAGGACAGAGCAAATTCTGAAAATGTAAATCCCTGGGAATTAGCAGAAATTCTTGAGAGAATCCAGACTATCAAAAACTCTACCTTTAAAGGGTAGGGTCTGAGCTGAGATGACCCAAGAGGGTAAAGGATGACCCCACTAATATCTGGGTTGTAGGTGGAGTAAAGGGAAAATTGCACTACTGTATACTTATGATTTGATGAAAGGATGAAATCGGAAAATAGTAAGATCCAGAGAAGAATGGAAGGATCTAAAATGCCTAGGAGGAGTGGCAGGATCTGCCAGGTTGGATGCTGTGAGGGGGGACTTTGGGTTCACCTTCCTGTTCAGGGACTCTGTTACCCTGAGGAATACTGTCACTGTGCTATGGCTCCAGGATGTGGTTCTAGAACTCGGACACCCAGTTATGTGAGGCACTCGCATGCTTCAGATAAACTCTGCTCAGATGCATCTCAGCAAGTCTTGGGGCACTAGTTTCAGCTACACTGTAGTGTATGGGGGTTCTTTTGTTGTTCCTCTATTTACAGAGGAAACAACATAAAACTGACACTTTGAAAAAACAGATACAGCAATCTGGAAGAGGGACCAAGGGCCAGACCTCAGCCGGGGCTGACTTCTTCCTTTTCACAGACTCCTCCCACTTTTCTAAAATCAGATATGTGGGACACAAGGCCCACCCGGGATGCAAACTGTCAGGAAAGGTCAGCACAGCCTCAAGGGAAGCAGAGGAGGGGCAGGAGTGGGAGCTGGGATTTATGTTTGAAGTCACAGACCCTCTGTCTGGGTGTGGTAGAGGGGTCCAGGATAAAACCCTGGTCACAGGATTCACTGGCCATGGACTGGATTATTAAGAAGGACAGCAGAGCCCTCGCCTCTGATTCATCAACCATGGCCCCATCATAGATGTCTCTAGTCCAAGGCTTTCCCTTATTTGGGGGCTGATGGGGATAACAATGCTCAGAACCTTTGAAAGCCTCAAATCAGATACTGGGGCCCAAGCTCTGTCATCAGGGGCAGAGGCCCAGGTAGTAGAGTACACTGGCTCCTGTAGTTCTGGGAATCCGTGCCTACATCAGAGGAGGGTAGGAACTTAAGAATATCAGTTGAACATGACATACGGAAAACCCTTCTTGAAATTTGCAAATAAGGAATAAAGGAAAATATTTGTATCCACTGTAAAGTGAATAATGGGGATGAACCACAAAGCTCTATTCGTTCAATATAGTAAATCAGATTGTTCACAAATAGTGAATGCCTACAGCTTGCTTAGAAAGAGGAGAGTAAGAATTGGGCTCCAGCCATTCATTCTAGACTCTCAAGATCAGTACAGTCAAAAAGAGGAATCAAGGTATAGCACCAGGAGCTAAGGTTTTATCCAGTCAATGCCGTGTTGCCCAAGGGTTAACCTTGGTCTCACTTTTCCATGAGGGCCCAGATATACAATCTCTGAGGTCATCGTTTCCTAGAGCAAGTTCCCATTAGAAACAGAGCTCTCAGAGGGGAGGCCTACAGGAAGCCTGTTCCACCCACCCATCCAGATGAAAAATGATGGGGCTGGGCCGTGAGCTCGCCCACTAGTGGGTGGTGTGAGGTATATTGGAATCACTATTGTTTTTGATGGCAGAACTTCCAGGTCCTGATTTTGGAAAAACTGTTTAACTTCCCCAACATTCAGGCTGCTCCTGAGGTGATACCTGGCTTCCATACCTCACAGGGTTGTTGTGAGAGTCACCCAAGATAATGTCTGCAAAAGGCCTTACTATTTATTTTTGTCACGAACCATTTTATCTTGAAGGGTGATTTTGATGTTTGTAGGTTCTACTCTCCCATTAAGCCTGCGAAAATACTGCTTTGCTCTTCTCTTCACCACATGTCACCTATGCTCTTTGTTTCTCTGATTGGAGAGATTAACCAAAAGAATCTGAGGTCTCAAGGGACAAGCTTTCCTGATGCTTTCCTGTGTCCCTTTTTCCAGGATGGCTACTCAGTTTCAGGGCAGCCTGGGGTTGACCTTGGAAAGGAGCACCATAGGGTAGGGAGTGTGGAAGAAAGCTTGGGAGGAGGATAAGTAGCACTGCTCTGCCATAGTCCCCTGTCCCTGCTTGTTCTTTGAATAAGATCCTTGTTTTGGTCATTGGGGGCAAGAGTCCTGTTGTGAGCTGGGAAACATGGTGGCCATGGAAGCTGACATTCTGTTGTTTGGGAGCGTGGGCGAAACGAAACGCTGCTACCTTGGAGTTCCATGGTTGCCAACAATTCTACCTTCCCACCAGATTCCACAGAGGCCCAAGTTCCAGACTATTGACTCAGGGACACTGTGGACCCCTGTCCAGAGAGGCTCACTGCCTCTCTGTCAAGTACCCTATGAGGCTCCTCTTCCCTCACTGGATGAGGGAAGAGGAGCCTCATAGGTTACTGGTTCTTGTCCTCTTCTTGGGTCCTGTTTCTGAAAATATCTCATTATCACGCTCTCCTCCACCACTGGCTTTCCTTTTGTGAAAAGTTGGTTGGAAAAGCCCAATTTCAAAAAGGTTTCTGAGCATTGTTCTGCTTAAAACAGAAACCTTCTTTCTATATGATGTAATGGGGTTTTCAGAGTTGTATGGTCTGTTACAGCATTTGTCATCTCAAAATTATTTCTTGGCTGAGCCCTATTACATAGGAAATTAGCTGATTAATTCCAAGAGACTGGTAGCTAAGGAAGCTGGGCGGCACCCAGAGGAAATCAAGTACAACTCAACAGACAGTATCATGGCAAGTTTAGCCAAATCATGAGCAAACTATAGCCTTGTGTTTGGATTCAAACCTGGAGTGTCTAAGACTGCATAAAAACATAAGGATAAAGACCTAGGAGGTATCGGTTAATAGAGAAGTGTCAACAATTTAAAGCTTCACTTGGCCAGGAAGAAAGAACACAGGAAAGAGCAAAAGCATATGCAAGTGAAAGCAGGCCAATTGGTGTCTCTGGCCATCTTGTCTGATGGCTCTTGGGGGAAGTTGTACCCTTTATGAAATCACCAACTTGGTTCTGATGGTCTTGGTGGAAGGTGCCTCTTCTGAGATCAGTTGCTGTGGAATGATCCCTCAGCTTCGTCTGGGATGGTGGTCGGCTCTCCGGTCTTGATCTTTCAGGGATGGTGGTCGGCTCTCCGGTCTTGATCTTGAGAGGCAGGGGCTTCCTGCTGTGTTAGTTGTTAATAGTACCTGGTAAAGCCCTTCTTGTGGAGATTCAACCACCGTCCTTCTGATGTCTGATCCAGTAGCTTAAAAAATAAAATTTGTGTAAGAATTACTCATTACCAAAAGGACAGAGTAAATAGAATATTCTGATGATTCAAAAGAAAACTGTTATCTGTACACAAAATAACCACTATTTTTTTGTTTTTGGTGTATCATCTGAGGAACATGTGTATAAATAAATTCTTTTTCTATGAATAAATCCACTTACACAGAATAGACCATTAAATGTATCTTTTTCTCCATTTATAAATGTAATTTTTAAAAATTGACATTAATATACCTTTATATCAAGAGAAAAAAAGTAACAAATATACATATAGTAAAATTACAGTATAGGATATAATTTATCTTTGGGTATTAAAAAATTAAATGTACATATTACACTGAATTGCCATTTTAATAAAGGAATAATTCATTAATAAACAGATTACATTATTATCTTGCTTACACATTCATACTTTTCTGTAATTGTTCTATTAAGCATAGTCCTAATCATTTTTATCAATCACCAAAATCAGTTAAGGCATCCACTTTTTGTTTTCTCTAGACACAGGGAAAACTAAAAGTCAAGAAACCAAGATCTGCCTAGCTAAGTTTTATGAGTGCACATTTTAGAGTACCTTTTACATTTTCAGGAGATAGAACCAATGCAGTACCCAAGGGCATTTACAGTTTCTGTAAGTCTATGGGCCTTATATAGTATATATAATGAGGATAAATTAAAACTAAATGTATATTATAGTGTATGTATTTGCACATAAACACACTAATATACTATATGGTATATATACTATATTCCATAGTGTGTGTGTGTGTGTGTGTGTGTGTGTGTGTGTGTGTGTCTGTGTCTGTGTATTTGGGTCAAAAACTGTCCTTGTATTCAAATATATATCAAGTAACTCAATGTTTTCTAAAGTTTTAAAATTTTAAGTATCTGGAAAATTTGGATGATGTAAAAATTTTACTAGACCTTTTAAAAGACAGCTATCTATGATTTAACTTAATCAAAATTGTTTTTTCTTAAATTTTAAGAAGGTTAAAACAGTCTGCATATAGACTATTATCTTAGCATTAATTGTTATAATAAAACAAAGGCAACAGAGTTCTTTAATCAACATGTTTATTAATTCAGTGCAATTTGTCTAATATAATCAGAAATATTACAAGATACTTTTTAAAAAAATGTTTTAGTTGTAGATGGACACAATATCTTTGTTTATTATTTTTATGTGGTTCTGAGGATCGAACCTAGTGCCTCATACTTGAGAGGGGTGAGAGATCAGCACTCTACCACTCTACCACTGAACCACAACCCCAGTCCACAAGGTACTTTTTTTTTTTTTTTTACAGGAAGTGGGGAAGGAGTAGAGAGGTAGAGTATGGCCTCCCTGAGAAGGTAATTCTTTTTTTTTTTTTTAAAGAGAGAGAGAGAGAGAGAGAGAGAGAATTTTAATATTTATTTTTTAGTTTTCGGCAGACACAACATCTTAGTTTTTGTACGTGGTGCTGAGGATCGAACCTGGGCTGCACGCATGCCAGCTTGAGCCACATCCCCAGCCCCCACAATTTAAAAAACATTTTATAAACTTTGTATTCTTGAGACAAATGTTAAATCCTAAATCATATTTAAAAGCTCCTATGTTAAAATTAAGATATTTTCTTTCATAATTATAGTAATGAAGGATATTATTTAAATACATTTGTCCACACTTTTTAATGCAAAAGAAATAATTTTTTTTTAAAGAGAGGGAGAGAGAGAGAGAATTTTAGTATTTATTTTTTAGTTTTTGGTGGACACAACATCTTTGTTTGAATGTGGTGCTGAGGATCGAACCCGGGCCGCATGCATGCCAGACGAGCGCGCTACTGCTTGAGCCACATCCCCAGCTCCTAGTTTAATTTTTTAAAAAAATATTTAGTTGTGGTGCTGAGAATCAAACTCAGTGCCTCACACATGCTATGCAAGCGCTCTACCACTGAGCCACAACCTCAGCCCAGTTTAATTTTTTTAAGACATTTTTGAACCACTTAAGTGTGAACAATAATTTGTTTAAAATTTCCCAAGTGAGGAGAAGGGCAAAGGTATAGAAATAACAAAGTCAGAGCAGTGGCTCTTTACAAATATGAAATTATCCCAGTAAAAGATTATCTTCCGGGCTGGGGATGTGGCTCAAGCGGTAGCGCGCTCACCTGGCATGCATGAGGCCCGGGTTCAATCCTCAGCACCACATACAAACAAAGATGTTGTGTCCGCCTAAAAACTAAATATTAAAATATTCTCCCTCCCTCTCCCTCTCTCTCTCTCTCTCTTAAAAAAAAATTATTTTCCCTTCATAGGGAGGAGGGAGAAAGTTCCAGGGCAGGAAACTCTTTTCATATATACAGAGATACAAAAGTAAAAGTAGCTTTCACCAGGAGATGAATGTCTGGTCAGAAACCAAGAATTCCCAGCAGTGGCCCCAACCTTGACAAGCCCTGCCAAGTAGAATATCCCCCAGGGTGGCAAGGGAGGGGATCTAGGTGGAATCCCAGCCATCTCTCTTTTAGGCAGACCAGATACATGATCTCCTCTAAGGCTGGCTTTTTCCTTATTGCATAAGTACTTCCCAAATGAACATTCTTCTTCACGTCCAAGTTCCTCAAGTGGCCAATGTAACTGTGATCTGTGATCTGTGATCTGTGATCCTCAGTGCCCTAATCTAATCAGCTTCAGTTCAGCAGGAGCAAACTTTTAGTCTGACAAAGTTAGTCTGGTTGGCCTATTGCAGTGAGGAAGGTCTGCACAGCAGGAAAGCCATGGGGGTTGTCATCAAGAAAGGGAAAGGTTATGACTTGATTTTGGCACTTGGGTGAAAATTAGATGAAATGGTATCTTGATAGGTTGAAGCAAAGCAGAGCTGTGTGTCAGGGGATGACAGCAGTTCCGATGGCCAGAAGGACATGAGTTTCTCTTCTTCTTAGAAACTACAAACTGATGTGGATCATTATGTACAAAAGCCCTTTATCTAAATCTGTTGCTGGAAAAAACAATCTTGCTTCTCTTCATCCAAGTGAATTAGATCTTGCAGCCAAGAGCAGGATGTTTTGTTCTTACTGAAATGATTTTAAAAACTAGGTTCTTGATAAACCGTGATTTTAAAAACAGGATTTCTCAGTACTAAGGTAGTAGTCTGCCGCAGAGAGTCAGTAGGACCCTCATGGTGTCTCCTTGGGAGAAATACTACTCTGTTAATATGCTTCTGGTTTCAACTACATCTGCTTTCCAGTCTGATGACCATCACAGTGGGATAAACCAATGTTCATTCTCTCAACATCTGACCCAGTCTTCTGCTTTGTCAGCTAGCTAGATGTAAGCTCTGGTGGCATGGGACCTTTTTCCGGAAGTAATTAATCTCTTTCCTTCTTTCCCGTTGCCCTCTTCTTGAAGTGAGCTGAATGATTTTAGGACTCCAGTGGAGCCTGGGATTGTTCCTGAAGGAGGTACCCATAAGGAACTGAATGGAAAGAAAGCCTTGGGGTGAGAGATAAAGAATCTTAGGAAGTCTATAGATGTGGATGCATGGGAAGGGTCCGCATGCTACAGGTGCCCCTATCATCACCAGGCTCTTGGCTCCTGGCTGAAGCCTGCAGCCACTTGGGCAGGATCCCTGATCAGGCAGCTTTGGAACTGAGTGAAGATCCATGCTGGCATGTGTAAGCGGGACCATGGAAAGTGACCTTCTGGGAAAGGGGCAGCTTCCTCTGAGTCCATGTTGGCTCCCCAGATGTGCCTGCCACCTTTAGCCCTGCCCCCACAGCCCCTCTGTCTGAGACCTTTCTACCTCTGCTCAGCTGTCACTCTCTCCCCAGGACTCTCCACCGTGGCTCTGCCCCTGCTCTTCCTTTGCTCCTCTCTGACTCTGCTCTGCAGACTGCTTTCTTCTTACTGTGCTCTGCCCTTCAAAAGGGTGTCCCACTCCTCACTAGCCATTTACCCCTGTCACTGGCCTTCTGTCTTCCACTGGGGCCTACAATCTCCCTCATCTCGTTTCCCCTCCAGGCTGGCCTCAGCCCCTCTGTGGTGAGAGTCCCACTGGCTCATGTCTCTCCTGATCTTTCACTTCTCTCATCCCACTAAGCTGCTCGCTCATGTGCCGCAGTCTGGCTGGGCACAAAATAACTGAGCTACCACAAGGCACTTGTAGGTTCAAACAGGAACTCCTTTATTGCCCGAACTCCCATGAACGCCACCCACGAAGCCCTTCCAGGAACACCACCAACCGGAAATCCCTCCTCCGGAACTTCACCAACCAATGTGAACTCCCCAGGAATCCCTGCGAGAACTCCAAAGTAGCGGGTGCCTGAGGCGGACAGCAGGAGTCTATATACAACTGAATACGCAGCTTAACTTAACCATTATCATCTCAATGGCTCGCTGGCACCTCTCAACCATTCCCTCTGGCAAAATGCCATGCGTCACTCTGTCACTCCGACTCAGCTCTCAACATCTCCCCCCTTCTTTTTAAATAAACACCAAGCATGTGGCTTAGGGACCGTGCCTGTCTTAGGTTGTCCAATACTACATATGGTCCTTACCCGTCATCGGATGAGCTGACCTCAAGGTGTCAGCCTCCTGTCTTAGGTTAGTACCATTGCAATACTTATTATGGAAGGTTGCCAGTGAGGAATTTTGCACAGAGACGGCTAAGCGAAATGCAGCAGCCAGTTATCCTCAGAGAAATCTAGATGTTGTTAGGAAAGGGACCTTATGAGGGTCAGCAGCAACAAACTGGATATGATCCTGCCATATACTCACAAATTGCTGCAGATGTGGTTAGGGCCTGGAATACTTTACAAGGACATGGAGATTTACAAGGTCAATTATCTAAGGTAATACAAGGAGCTAATGAACCTTACGCTGAATTTGTAGATAGGCTTATTCAAACAGCTACCAGAGTTTTTGGGGATACAGAGCAAGCAATGCCATTAATTAAACAGCTAGTCTTTGAGCAAGCAAACAGATGGTGCAAGGAGGCCATTAGACCATGGAAACATGGAGATTTAAACACATATATTAAATTATGTAGAGAGATTAATAAACAAGGGCAAGTCTTAGCACCTGGCTTTAGATGCCAGGCCAAAAACATGCTACAATTATGAACAAACAGGATATTTTAAAAGGAGTTGCCCCATAGGAGGAGGGTTTAACAAAACTAGGTATCAAAGGGGTAGAATACCAGGTATTTGCCCACGATGCTGTAAAGGGAGACATTGGGCTAATGAATACCATTCTCAAACCACCATAGAGGGTACTCCATTATCAAAAAACGGACAAGGACCAGGTGTTTACCCACAATATCATGGAGAAAAGCATCAGGCTCCATTGCCAAAAAACGGACACAGGGGCCCAATGCTCCGGGGCCCATGACCACAAATATACGGGGCACTGGAGGAACCCATACTGGTCTTTCTGATTTCCAAGTAATTTTTATTGTCTCAGTGACCCCTCCTTGCTTGTTGTTTAATTAAACAGAAGGGGGGAAATGTTGAGGGCCACAGCCGAGTCGGGATTCAATTGTATATAGACCCCTGCTGTCTGCCTTGGGCGCCCGCTACTTTGGAGTTCTCGTGGAGATTCCTGGGGAGTTCACGTTGGTTGGTGAAGTTCTGGTGGAGGGAGTTCTGGTTGTGGTGTGTGTATGCCTGGAAGGGCTGCGTGGGTGGCGTTCGCGTGAGTTCGGAAATAAAGGTTGTTCCTGCTTGAGTGGCTCGTGATTTGTGCCCAGCCAGACTGCGGCACTCATGTTCCAACCAAAGATCCCCTGTGCCTCTACCCCATCATCCAAAGTCCCCAAGTCAGCCTTAACCCTGGGAAGTTGACTGCTTTTTGCTTCTAGAGACCCCCAAATTTAAGGACTGTCTTTTCCCTCACCACTGACCCTTTCAATCCTCTGAGAACATACTTAGATACTAGACCCTCCTTCCAAATAGACCCCTCCTGAGCACATGACCCTTTCCTTGATTAGAACTCTCTCAGGCTCTCATTCAACCCATGGATCTACTGATTTATCTGTCACACCTAACCTTTACCAGGCTCCACCTTAACACAGTCTCCTTTTGGCTTGATTTCAATCCAATGGAACAATGTCCCAGAGAACTCAATTTCAGATCACCCCTGCTTCCTGTGGCTTCCTTTCTTCCAATAATCTCAGGCATCCATTTCTCAAAAGCCTTGCCCCTTGATACCTGCTCCCTGGTGGCAGTCATCTGCCAGAACTCCTTTCTCCCTACCTTCTGGTACTGTGCTCTCCTGCTGGAGTGTTTTCCTGTCTGTCCTTGGGGTGGAAATGTGTAGATGCTCCTTTCTCAGCTCTGCCGTCTGGAAGCTTGCAGCCTGTCTGGAAGGTGCAGAGGGTGGGTTTCCAGGTTTGGGAGGAGTAAGTCAGTAAGGTCATTTATAAAGCAACACAGGACATTCTCCCAACTCAATTCTGTGACTCCCTTATCAGGTGGTGTTGAGCACCACCCACCCACCAACCCTTCTAGAGATATGAAGGTCAACCCTCATAATAGCTGCATAGTCCTTAGAGGCTTCCAAATCCCTGATCCCTGGGAGACCCTATGGCAGAAATGCAGCTAGGTCTTCTGAGGTTCCCCCCTCTGCCCAGGAGTTCCGGCTGGCTATCCTCCTGTTCCATGATAAATGTTCCCAACTGCTAATGGTTTGGATGTGAGGTGTCCCCCAAAAACTCACATGTGAGACAATGCAAGGTTTAGAGGAGAAAAAAAATTAGATTATGAAAGCCTTAACCCAATTAGTGAATTAATCCCCTGACAGATTTAACTGAGTGTAACTGAAGGTGGGTGAGGTATGGCTGGAGGAGGGGAGCATTGGGGGCATGCCTTTTGGGTATATATTTTGTATCTGGTGAGTGCAGTCTCTCTCTGCTTCTTGTTCATCATGTGAGCTGCTTTCCTCCACCACAGTTTTCCACCATGATGTTCTACCTCACCTTGAGCCCTGAGGAATGGAGCTGGCTGTCTGTGGCCTGAGACCTCTGAAACTGTGAACCCTTAAGTAAACTTTTCCTCCCTTAAAATTGTTTTGGTCAGATCTTTTAGTCCCAGAAGTGAAAAAGCTGACTAAAACATCAACCATCTTTGATACAC